CGGCACTGCAGGACTTGGTCAAGTCACTTCATATCCAGGTTGTCTCTTCCTTGAAATAAGGCGAGGAGGAGGAGGAGGAATCATGGTGGACACGTTTAAATGCCAAGGCAGCACGCTCTGAGGGAGTAACGGTGAAAACTGCTGTGTTATCCCTGAACCTGCTGCCATCCTCACCTCGTCCCTGACCTGGCCCAGACCTCTTTGAGCAGCAGCTCCTGAGCTGGACACTTTGTGCCAGACCTGCCGGGGTCCATCCGCTGCCGAGCAGGTCCTGCCCGCAGGCAGGGCAGCGCCGTGCCCCTCGGAGGGCTGGGCAAAGCCAGTCTGAGTGGTCCTTGAGCTCAGCAGCTCCTACCCGCATTCAGGGCAGGTCTGCAAGAAGCTGAGCCTGGAGGAGAGGGAGAGAACTAAAGGTGCCCCGAGGGGACACCAGCTTCTAGAGGAGAAGCTGATCTGACAGAGGAACAAGGTTTGGCCCTTTGGGTAGCTCACAAGAGCATCTGTTTGGTTTGGTGGGCGAAGCTCCCTGCAAAGGGAACGTTTCCCCCATGCCTGTGAACATTTCACCTTTCGGCCTGTGGCAGCGGCAGGATTTGCTGGGAGACGTGCCGTGGCTTTGCCAGCACAGGAATCAGCTGTGGTCCTTGGGAACCTCTGGAGCCCCGTCCCAGAGTGACCCAGGCACGTGTTGTTGCGTGGCCGTGATCAGACAGGCTTTTGGTGGGGCTCAGCAGCGAGTGCAGGGGGAGCTGGACCCCACCCCGGCTGCCGCCCTCCCGGGAGCCCTCCGGCTCTGCCCGAGCTGGCCTCAACCCCTGCGGGGCAGCAGGAAGCTGTGGGAGAAGCCGCCGTCAGCAGAGCTGTTGGGTTGAGGGCATTTCTACCACAGGTGCTGGTGCGCAGCAGCGGGTATGGGCCGCTCGGGTGTCGAAGTGAGAGTGGGGCCAGGGGGCTGCCTGGGAGCTGGAGCAGAAAGCCACGGCCCTGCGCCAACCAAGGACCTGCTGCTGCTGGCCCAGGATGTGTGTGCGCCCAGGCATCAGGACCCCCGATCTGCCGGCCAGGGAGCACCCTGCCCTGCTCCGCAGGACGCCGGGGACCCCAGGCATGGGAAGACCATGTAAAACTAGCACAGAAATAATTAAAACGTCCTCTGCCAGTCCCGGGATGGGACTCGGGAGCAGGACAGGGAAAGGCTCTTCTCTGCAGAGACCCCGGTGGGCAGTGGTGTCCAAGGGTGGAAACACTGCAGGGTGTTTGTGGGCTGTTGGCTTCACGAGGTGTTGGGGAGCTGGAAAGTGGTTTAGTTCTTGCAATTAGGGCTTCTGTATTTGTTTAATGGCTTTCCTGAATCTGGGTGAAAATGGCCAAGGGGGTTTAGGCACAGGACTCTGTTCTTGTTTTGCTTTGCCTGGGATTGCTTCAGCCTTGGCCTTGCCTGCGCAGCCGGAGCAGCCAGTCCGAGGGATTTCCCCATGAGATGCTGCTCTGTGCCCTGCAGTCCTGTGCTGGGGGGCAGCGCCAGGCAGCCCAGGACCACCTCGTCCAGAGACTGTGAAAGATTTTATTTAACACAGTGAGAGTTTATCACACTTGTGCTCCACGAGGCAGTGATGGGCAGCCTGGCAGAGGCAGGAGCTTGGGGCAGCCCCAGCACTGGGCTCCCCCGACCCACCCTGAAGAGCCGCTGGTCCCGGCTGAGCAGAGGGGCTCCCGGGGGGGGCACAGCTGCAGGGAGAGGGGAGAGCGGCAGCAGGTTCCCTGTCCCTCCCTGCAGCTGCTCTTTGCTGCCTTTCCAAGGCTTCAGCTGTGTTTTCCACATCCTGGATCCAGCCTGGCAGGTTAAACAGCCTGCTCATCCACCAGCAAATAAATGTATGCAAAAGCCTGGATGCCTTCCAGTGCGGGAGGCCTGTTTCAGGTGAGTCCTGTTCCCAGGCTGTCTGTAGCCAGGTTGCTCAGCTCTCCAAAGAGCTGGCAGTGTCCAGGTAGAAATACCACTCGCAGAAAATGGGAACAGAGCTCTGACCCCACAGATGGGACCTCCGCCTGCCCGGGAGCTGGAGCAGTCTCCACGCTTGTCCTTGTCCCGGCGTGAGGAGAAGGGGGGTGTGTGTCGGAGGGCGAGTGTGTTTGCAGCCAAAGCTGCCCCAGGGGGGATCCCTGCAGTGTCAGCAGCCCCCAGGTCCCCCCGCCCAGTGCAGAGGGGGCTGGTTTGCCTCTTTGCCCATGATGGAGTCTGGCTGACCGGAGGAAAATCACAGTTGGCAGAATCTGGGCAGTTGCAGTGCTAGAGGCAGGGGATGGGGGGTGAGGCCAGGCAGGGGCACCAGCCATGGGGCAGGAGGTGGTCTTGGGGCTGGAAACCAAAGCTCTTGCCCAGGAACCATTGAGGGATCTGGGGCTTGGCCCCATGGTGACTGGTTGCTGTGTGTCTGTGCTGTGGCAGGACCGTTGTCAGCCCCGTTAGGGGATGCCCTGGCTCTCGGGAAGCCTTCTGACCGACCTGCCTGTGCCAAGCCCTGGGCAAGCACAGCTCGGTCGCAGATGGTGGCCCCCAGGGTGCAATTGTGCATCCATCTGCCCTCTCTGCTCCTTCCTTGGGGCTAGGAGCAGACTGAGGGGAGGGAGCCAAGCGCTCCTTGCCTTGTCATATTTGGGCATTTTAATTAGAGAAGTGCAGGTCTGGGGCAGCACTGGAGGGAGCCTGGTGTCAGCGGGTGCTGCCATGGGCCCTGCGGCACCCCCAGTCCTGGGCTAGTGCAGCACGTGCAAGCCCTCACACTGGCCCGTGGGCACCGTACCGGGAGGCACCGGGCACGCTGCCAGCCCTGTCCCACACTTCACACGCACTGGCTGCTCTTCCTACTGATTCAGAACGTCCTTTCCTCTCCCAGGCACGTTTTGAGCAGAGATCCTGACAGGTGAAATCGCAGGGTCCCTGGCAGGATGCACCTCAGGGGAATCTGGTCTCTGCTGGGAGGGAAGCCCCGAGCTGGGGGCTCTGACCAACGCGCTGCCCGGCTGCTCCCTGCAAGGCAAAACTTCTCCTGTGGGCCCACGATTGCTCTGATTTACCCTCTGAGGTTGCAGGGAAGCTAGAGGGAGGCTTGGTGTGAATGAGCCGGCTTCCTCCTCTAGCCCGAAATTTAGGTCACGCAAACCAACACAGCAGAGCTGTGATAGATGTAGTTCATCCTGGGTTCAAGCCCAAGCAGGCTTTGGTTTCCAAGGTGCAACTGTTGATGGTTCGGAGGGTCCGTCTGAGCCGCCGTTTCATTAGCGATTGGCACGTGGAAAGAGGTGAGAGGGGTTTTTCCCCTCCCCGATCAGCTCCCACATTGCTAATGTTCCTCTCTGGCCCGCTGCTAATTTTGACGCTGCCCTAAATAGAAGCTGAGTGCATCTCATCTGCTTCGCTTAGCATACAGGAAAATTGTTTTCCTTCATTTACTGAATCCAACTTGCAGCTTTAACCCTGTCAGCACAAGTCTCTCCCTGTTGCAGACCTCCCTTGGAGGGCTTCGCCTGCCTCTGCCCCGGCGAGGAGCTCCCTGATGGGAACTGGGAATGGCACCGCACGTGGTAGGAGAGGGAGGGCTCCCAGGCCGCCCGGTGTGGCCACCAGCAGAGGTGGGAGAGGGGCTTCGCTTCAGGAGCAGCCAAGGAGATCCCTTTCTCTGCTGAAAGGTCTGGCCTCTGGGCCGGCTCTCCCTGTGCTCTCTCCGGCAGGACCCAGTGCCCCTTCCCAGACTGGCCTTCCCCAGCCCCGTGCTGGAAAACAGCTCAGCACAGGCAGATGCAGTTGTAGGAGTTCTGGGTTGGTTTCTGTTGTATCTTTTCCAGCAGCTGGTGGGACCAGCTCAGCACACAGGGACCCTTCCTGAGCCTGGCAGATGCCCCTCTTATCACTGTCTAATTTTATATCCCGTTCTGAGTAGCTCCTTGGAAAGATCTGCTGTTCCTGCTCCATCACAGGACTCTGGGTTCCCCTCCCAGCTCAGGGCACGTGGCCCATCTCCGTGCTGGAACTGGACACAGCACAGCGCGTTCGAAAGGCCGTCGTGAGCGTGAACCCTTCTGCGGCACGACTTAAATATATCACTGCCTAGTGCAAGGTGCTTATTTGGGGCTCTTGTGCAAGAACTGTTTTCCTGAAAAACTTGTAATTTTGTGGCATTTGCAGCTCGGTGACTGTTAGAACAGGCGGTGTGCTGAGGACACGGCAGCACCAAAAGGAGGCACTGGGGGTGCAAGGGGCAGCGGCCTGCAAAGGTTAAATTTAGCTGGTTAGAAAGGACGGCTGAGCGCTGGGTGCCTGAGCTGGAGCTGAGCCTCAGCTGGACACACAACAGCACTTCAGCCAGGGCATCCACACCCTCCCCTCTCGTCCCTTGCACTCCTGGCCGTGGTCTCTCTCTGAGCCCACCCCTTCGCCAGCCCAGCAGCTCCTCTTCCCCGCAGAGCAGCGCTGGGGGGATGCTGGCCCCTTTCCTCCCCTTTCAGCTTCCAGTTTGTTCCGAGTGCTCAAGGCTCTGTGCAGCCACAGAGGCTGCTCTGCGCAAGGCTCGTCTGCTCTCTGGCAGGAGCCCAGCTCCGGTTTGGGCTGCAGAAGTGCCCAGAGCCTCTGGAGTCAGCCCCAGCATGAGTGAAGCTGCTGGAGGGGCTGCAGCTCGCTGGCGATGTCCCAGTCTCACAGAGCAGCTCCTCACCCCGCTCCCACTCAGGGGTACCTGTGGCACAGGGGATCTTCTGTGGTCCCATCCAGGAGAGGGTGGCATTAGATTGTCCACAAGAAAAAAAAGAGAGAGGTTATTGAGAGCCAGGAGACAGAGGGACCAAGTGGCAGTGACCCCCGGCAGGCTCCAGGCCTTGGCAAACCTCTGAAGGGAGCCGGAGGGGCCCCGACGTGTCGCTGAGGCCACGCCGGATGGAGCGACGGGACACGGGGAGTTGTTTGGGGCGTTCTGACTCTCTTCTGTATTTTATTGTCTTTTCAGAAAATCAACCGGACCCCTTCGGATGAGGAATGCTTCTTTGACTTGTTGAGCAAGTTCCAGAGCAACCGGATGGATGATCAGCGCTGCCCGTTGGAGGAATGCCCATCGGAGGCTGCCGAGGCAGCTGCCACACCGGTCCCTGCCCTGGAAGAACGGATATGTAAGCACCGATGCGTTTATAAGTGGCTGTTCCTGTGGGAGCGATGCTGCTCCCGTGCTGTGGCCAGCTGTCGTGGTTTTACCATGAATCTTGTGATGTTTTCCCCAAGCTTCATCTCTCTGAACTTAGCAGTGCTTTGGCAATCTCCGTCATTATTTAAGGAAGAAAGAAACATTCTTATGTTAATGGTTGCTGAGGGAAGGGCTGGAGAATATGAACTAAGGCTTGGAGAGTAAACTAGCATGAGAAATGTAAAATATACTTGGGACTTTTTCAGTACAGATCTTCTTTTGAAGGTCTGGCCTTCTGAACAGTGAGGCTGGCACGAGGAGTTCTGCCTCTGCCAGCATCTCCAGGAGGAAGATGTTGTTGCGTATTACTGGGAGACCTTGTAAGAGCCTGGGGGGCTGGGGTGGGCTTTCACAGGCAGGTTAAAGTATCACCAGTTCTTCTCATAGCGTTGCCATGGAGGAAAAACTTCTGGATTTCGTATGATTCTTGGATGCTGTGGTGATAGGCGCTGTGTAAGAACGGAGGGGCCAGGAGGATGGATAAACAGGAGGAAGCTCCAGCAGGCAGACAGCTAGCTCGCCCATAGGAAGAACGGGGATAAATTGAGGAAGCTGTCTGACAAATAGATGGGACAGGAAAGGCAGGTTTAGGTCTGTGTCTGCACTTCGGTTTTGTGTCTTCTTTTTTATGATGCAGTGTTGAGGTCCTTTGTTTAAACCGAGCTGGAGAGAAGCACTAAAATGTGCAGGTCACACTTGCACGCTTCAGCACTGCTGCAAACCTCAAAACCCTTTGAAACCCTCAAAACCCTTTGAACTGATGGATTTGTTGGTTTTCGAAATGGATGTGAGGTACAAACAGGAGAGGAGGAGACCCCCGACATCCCTCTGAGCACAGCAAGAGCCGCAGCATGAGGCCGCTCGGAGCAGCGGGTGCCAGGAGCAGGGGCTGGAGCGGCAGCGAGAGCAGGGCGGTGCGGGGGGGTCAGGCTGTGTCAGAGGGCAGGTTGGCTCTGAGGTGAGCAGGTTTTTACCTTCTAAAAATAGGGTGGGAACGAGCATCACTGTTTCAAGATCCACATTTCTGATACAGAAGTGCGTTTGGCTGCAACAGCTGTGTGATTTAGGAGAACAAGTTTAAAATACAAAGCTTTATAAAGAATGTACAAGTAGGCACATGTTCTGTTCAGCTCTTGTTTGGGCTCTGAGCCTTTTGGACACGTTATTTTCAAGGTTTCTTTGTGAGCTGCAGGGGAAGAAACTCATCTTTGCGTCAGCACTGAGATTTGTATGTATTTCTGCAACTCCACGAGCTGGGGCTCTAAAACGAGCACGTCGTGTTGGGAGGCTCGGGGCACCCTCTGCTCGAGTGCTTTACGCTCACTGGGACGGTAACACCCATCGAGCCACGTTTCTTACAGTTTTCTTTTACTTGTCCCTGTCCTGAGCGCAGTGTCTGTTGTTCAGGAGCCTTTCATTGCACAGCAGCTGCCGGGAACCAACAGGCTCTTTCCACTGAGCGCTGCCCAGGGGGTGTTTCCAGGGCTGGGGGGCGGCCTCGATCACTCTGATCAGGTTCTGGCATCGTTTCTGGGCTGTGTTGGAAAATCTTCCCTTTGTCCCGTGATCGATGCGACCGGTGCCGGGCCCGACGGATCCTCCAGCACACCGTGGCTAGAACACACTGGGCATGCTGGGAGCCTGGATGGGGGGCAAACTACCCCCTCCAGGGCTTACAGAGTGTACATTATATGTACAGGTTCTGAACTGGGACCCCCTGACTCCAGCTCAGGCTGGCCCAGCCCCACAAGTGTTTTTTTTCCTCACGGTGACACAGGTCCTGCAGCTCTGTGATGGGGCTCACAGCTCTGGAGCTGGCCTAAAAAGGCCGGGCTTCCAGGGGCCTGGGACGGGTTTGCTGCCAGGTGAGCAGCTTAGCCAGGCCGGAGCGGTGCGGGTTACCTGCCTGTCCTCCAGGGAGAAGCGGTACCGCCTGTCCCCGAGCCTACGAGCACTCAGAACTGCGCGCTCGCCCGCAGTTGCCGGTGGCATTGCCCTGGCGAGGTGCAGGTTGGCCCCTGGCAGAAACCCGAGTGGAAGCGGCGGCAGAAGCTGCCTGTAGCGCTGGCAGCAACAGCACTAACGTCGGGGCGCTGGGTCTTCGGTGGCATCTTGGGTGTCCTGCCGGGGCGCAGGAAGGCGCCTGGAGCCCCCGTGGGAGGTTCCAGCAGCACCAGACGTGTATGTGAGGTTCTGCTCTCTCCCCGTCGGTGGCAGGTTTGCTGCGGGAGGCCGCTCTGGAGCGGGCCGTGCCCTTTTCACGGCCCAGCCCTGTAAAGCAGCCGTGTTTGTTCGCTGGCCGGGGGTTGTGCTGGAGGCAGCGCAACCCTGGGGAGTGGAAACTGAGGCTCTGCTGAGCCGGAGCTTTTCCGCTTCCCCTGGGCAGGGCAGGGCAGAGGGTCCCACTGAGGGGAGCTGGGGGCAGGTGGGTTTTGCGCCCTGTAGCTGGCGTTGCTGTGGTGGCGGGGGTTTGCTGGCTTGTGTAGCTGGCGCTGGCGTTGCTCCTGCTGCCCGGGGTCCCGCGGCTCAGCACTGGGGGGGCCCAGCTGCGTGACGAGCCCCTGGGGGCCGCAGCCCGGCTGGCTGAGCAGCAGCTGGGTGAGGGGAATTTGGGCTCTGCGCCGCGCGGGCAGAGCCATGACCCCAGTGTGGCTCCTCTCCCCCCTCACAGCACAGTCCTCCCTAATGGCGTCTCCGCAAACGGAGGAGTTCTTCGATCTCATCGCCAGCTCCCAGAGCCGACGGCTGGATGACCAACGCGCCAACGTGGGCAACCTGCCCGGCCTGCGGATAACACACAACAACATGGGGCACCTGCGCGTGGAGGGGGATGCCCAGGAGCCCGGGGACGAGTTCTTCAACATGCTCATGAAGTGTCAGGTACCGACACAGGCTGCCAAGCTGGAGGGGGGAGACTGGATTCCCCCACCTGAGCAAAAACCGTCCCCTGATCCCCCCCCACTGCAATCTGGGAGGGGCCGTGGTCAGTAGTTGCCCACCCAGGGCACCCAGGCAGGCGCTGGGCTTTGCCTCCCCCCGCAGCGCCCGCACCCTGTGCCGGGTCACGGCTCCCCCGCAGCGGGTGCAGCACTGCACAGGGGGAGCCTGTGCCCTGAGCCCCCCCCGGGCACTGGTCCCAGCCCTTTCCATCCCGGGCAGAGCTGTGGTGTCAGGGCTCAGTCCTAAGGCCTGTTCTCCTCCTTGCACAGTCCTCCAGGATCGATGACCAGCGCTGTGCCCCCCCAGACTCCATCCCCCGCGGCCCCACCATGCCGGATGAAGATTTTTTCAGCCTCATCCAGCGTGTCCAGGCCAAACGCATGGATGAGCAGCGGGTGGATTTGGCCTCAGCCCAGGAGGAGGCAGCAGAGGAGCAGCAGAGGCCTGGTTCCAGCTAAGAACTGGGGTTTGGCTTGGGGAGGGAGTTGTTTTGGTTTCATTTCTGTTTTTAAAAAGGAAAAAAAAAAAAAGTGTAGGTGGTTTCAAAGCCAAGTGTCCCTACGCTCCAGGAGCTGCCCCCTCCCCAGCACAGCAGGGCCCAGCTGCCGGGGGACGGGTTTTAAACAAGGGGGTTCTTGGGACATGCGGCCGCTGTAACACCGGGCACAGCATGAGGGAAGACAACTTTGGCAGCCCCTTTGCTGATCACCTAAAAATCCAGAAACTTCTGTTGACGGCCAAAGGAGGAGCCCGGAGTGGGTGGTTGACTCCAGCCTGGATGTCTTTTATTGCCACAACACTTCTAAGTTAACAGGGGAAGGGAAGAGCACCTTTTCCATTCTGAAGCCCTCCTGTCTTGCCTGCAGAACAAGGTGACACAAATTGCTCTGGATCCTTCCCTGGAACATCTCGCTCAGATCTGTTCTTCCTGCAGGAGGAAATGAGCCCAAGTCAGAGGCCACACCAGTCCTTTTAAACCTCACCCCAGCCACAGTCGTGGTCCTACACACCTTAAAAGTTTATTTTAGGTTTGCTGAGGCCTCTGCAGCGAGCCCTGTGCCACCCCTGCTGCTCCCCAGCCACAGAGCTGAGCCAGCGCCCCCCAGCAGGGGCAAAGCCTCGCTCCCCCCGAGCTTTACTGAGCTCTGGTCACCTCTAGAGAACAGCCCTGAAGCAAAGCCCAGCCTCTGCCTGGGACAAAGCCTGAGGGGCCTGTGGGGGCAAGGGGTCCTCTGCCTGTCTGCTCAGCACCGGGCAGATGGGGGCAACTCACCTCTGAGGGTGGTGCTGAGCCCCCAGCCCCGGCAGGACCGTCCCAGGTGCAGGTGAGCACGCCCGAGGCCGGCGTTCAGCAGGGACCCACTTCAGGAGCCAGCAGTTTTCTGGCCAAGGACTATCGGGAGAGCAAGTGGAACCAGCCCCTCCCTCCTCCCCGTGGGGGTCAGGGCCCTTCCCTCCCCTCGCTTCTCCCCAGACCAGCGCCCCACAGGCCCTGGCTCTTGGCGCAGCACCCCGGTTCTGCCCCCTCTGTCTCCACACACGGAGCCTCCCGAGGGCTCCAGACCTGGGTGCTGGCTGGGAAGTCGGTTCCACCCCCAACACAAGCCAAGAGTCTCCATTTACTTTCATTCCTTCTCCTCTTGGAGCAGTTGGAAAAGCCAAGCCCAGAAGGAGGGGAGCAGGAATCTTAACTTCAAGGAGGTGGAGTATTTTTTCTTTGCTTGACCAGATCTTGGACTTCAGAAACTCCAGTACCAAGTCTGCCAAAGCAGATATGTTCCTTTAGAGAACAAATCAGCACTTTCTATTTGAAATGCATTTGATGGAAACATTTCCAACCAGCAGTTAAGATTTTTTTTTTTAGACCAGTGATGCTGCTCATCGGGCATTTAACCTGCCTGCACTGACCCTGAGGAGGGGGAGCTGCGTTCTACCTGCTGCCAGGGAGACTCACCTGCTCCAGGCTGCCTGGCTGAGGCCCGGCCTCCTCCCTGGGGCTGGCAGAGCTCTGCCCCAGCTCCACTTTGTGAGGAGGAGGAGAACAGTGAAGATGAAGATGATGATGTGACCAGCTGCAGGCTCGGGCCTGTGCAGCTCTCGGCCAGGTGGTGAACTGGAATCTGACCATTAAGCTTTCAGAGGTGTTAATTATTTGCCATATACTTGAATGTATGAGCTTATTTATTTTTTACATGTGCATTTGCTAATGTCATTTTAATGGGGAATTTCCAACCCACAGGTACTTTTTTTTCTAAAAAATAATCTGCCAAATGAATTAATATATTAGAAATGAATACAGCGCAAGGGGAAGGGGAGGTTGTGCTTAATAAATATTTGTGTCTAAGCTTCAGTGACAATTAATTTCCATTATTTCTTGGCCAGCCTGCCTGCTTTGCTGACCGCTGCCCCTGGGAACGGGGCTGGGGGTCTCGTGTGTCAGTGTCGAGGGTTTATGCCCCCACCTGCCTTAAATGCAGAGCGTGGCTGTGGCCAAGGGGCTGTGACAGGGACACAAAGCCCTGAGCATTCCCTGCCCCGAGCAACAGCCCAAGCCTAGAAGTTACCAGGACGACCAGACAGACCCACAGCCCTGCAGTGTCCCAGAAAAGACCCGCTTGTCCCTGCTCGAGGCGCATGGCCGAGCCTTCCCTTTCAGCCCTGCCCGGGGGCTCCGGCTCAGCCCAGTCTCGGTGCCTCGGCGGCGCCTGGCCCAAACCCCAGGTCTTGTTTCCCCATTGGCAGCTGCCGGAGGAAAAGGGCAGCGAGCGCCGCCGAAGCCCTGGCACCAGCCCTGGTGAAGGTACTCACAAAGCAGCAGGCAGCAGCGCTCGCGCGTTCCAAGGCGGCAAGCGTGAGCAGGCCCTTAGACTTCGCTAGAAAGTGGCTCTGAGAGCGGCAGATTTTGGATCCTGAGCCCTGTGAGGATAAAGCCAAGTCACAGCTGGTCTTCCCACGCCTGACTAACTTGTGCTGGCCACTGCCAGTCCTGGTCAAGGATTAATGAAGAGCCACCAGCTCCTTCTCCTCAGGCAGTCTTGTGCCTCTTGGGGCCTGGATGCAAAAAGTTTGGTGCTAGTAGTCTCTGTGTGTGACTTGGGGACAACCCTGCCCCCAGGTACACAGATTCCTAAGAAGAGGTGAAACCCTTGTGTGTGTTGGTGTCTCACCCGCTGTCCCCGTCCTTCGCTGGGGAGGGGAGCACACGCTCTGCAGTAAACACTGTCCCCTTGAGAGCCCCTGGGAGCAGAAGGTGACAGCTACATCGCTGTCCAGAGCCACCCTGTCCCCTGCAGTAGCAGTCAGTGGCCAAGGCCAGCCCTCTCCTCTCCCAGGCTGCAGATGGACATGGGACTGCCAGGGCCGAGGTGCTGATCTCTGCTGCTCGGCTCTACATGTGCCCCGAGAGGCACCTGCAAGCCAGGGCTGATGGCAGGCCCGTGCAGAGTTTTGTATCGCTCTTCTGCCGAGTCAGGCCAGGGCTGCATCTCCACACTTACCTCAGCCCTCCCCAGGGCCTCGTGCTGCTCCTGCTCCCGCCATCACTGCTCTCCAGCTGTTGGACAGGTGCTCAGCAGGAAGGGATCTGCTGGCCCCGAGCACCCAGGCACTGCACATCTCAGTCTGGAGTTGGACAGATTCTGGCTGCTCTCCATAGCAACCTCCTGGGACTCTGCTAGGCCGGGACACGGCCTGTGGGCTAAGTTAACTCCTGCTCGGCTTTGCAGTAAGGCAGGGCCACGCTTGCAGTGGGCTCCTCCTAGACAAGGCACGCTCACCTCTGTCCTCTTTCAAGAACAGACACACTTCTCTGACACATTTGTCAGAAAAACCCACTTCAAAAGGGAGCACAAAATTCCTTTTATACCTGCAACCTATGAGCAGCAAATCCTTCTGTATTATATGCAAATTCCCTCTCCCAGATAAAAGCCCCAGAATGTTTTGTCATGAGAAGCAACAGCTCGGAAAATTGGCGTGCCCTGTAATCTGCTGCCTCCTGTTCTGTCCAGATGTTGGCCTGAACCTTCAGAGAAGCAGCAAAAATACACCCCCCTCCAGCCCCCGCTGTGGGTGCTGCAGGGCCAGGCACACTGTCCTGCCTCCACAGCACCCGGCACCAGAGGACGCTGGGCCGAAGGAACAACTACATTCTAGTTAACAGCCATCACGGATGGATTTTGCGACAGTTTTTACTGTAATGCAGCAAAAACAAGCCCCACCTTTCTTTAGCTGGGGCTCAGTAACAGGTAAGAAAGGTAAGGAAAACAGTACAGAAAGTCAGGTTGTAAATGTACCGTTTCCAAGGCAACACGGATCCTGCAACAGCTGCTCAAAGGCATTAGTGCAATGGAAGCAGAATGTCGATTTTCAGGTAAAAGGCACTAAAAATCTTCCAGCAGAGTGCTAATACGCGCCAGCGACTCACAACGGGGTGAGCACGCAGCAACGTTCCAAGATGCAAGACTCCTGTTTCTTAATTATTTCATCTCTGGCATGGGGCGTGCTGTACTTCACTGAGATCTGAGCACTCACAGGGATGAAGTTCCTGACCTCAACACTGCCTCATCACTCTGAATTTACATACCAAGAGGAAAACAAGACTGTTGTCCTGCCGCTCCCATCCAAGCTTATGCCACAACACGCATAAAATTACTGTCAACCCTATGAACCAACTCATTACTACTCATTAACACATGCAATACTCTCACTGAATACTTCGCTGATTAAGGACACAAACACCTGGACACGTTGGGCTTAAAGAACTGGGTCTGTTCAGCCCTGAGACGCAAGGGCTAAGAGGGATTGTACTGCTTTCTGTAGCTGGCTAATGAGAGGACACAGGGAACAGAGACAGGCTCTCCTCAGAAGTGGATGGTGTTCAGGAAGAGGGTAACGGGTGCAAGCTGAAATGCAGGAAATTTCAGTTAGGTGTTGGTTTTGTTTGTTTGTTTGTTTTCACTATGGGATTGGTCAAATACCACAACACAGGTCCAAAGAGGTGCTGGGATTTCAATTCTCTGAGATATTAAGACAAGCCCTGAGCATCCTTATCTAACTGGACCTTCTTTGAACAACAGGGTTAGACTAGAAACCTCCAGACACCCCTTCCAACCTGAATCATTCTTTGATTGCAAGTTTAAAACCAGAAGAAAGCAGACACTTCACTGTGCTTCAGGCTAACAGACCTTGAGAGAAGTTAAGCTTTCATGCAGGCAGAGGAAGTAAGCCCTAACAAATGCAATATGATCACCTCACTGCCTGGTCCATCACTACCCGAGCATTATATGCTGGTAAACCCCGACATCTTTCATGTATTATTATTTTTTTCTCTAACTGATCTTAACACACAGCAGTGGCGTTAATAAGCACCTCAGTGTCTATCAAGTAACTCCAAGACAACTTTCTAGGTGTTCTACTTATCTCCGACATGCTTCACTAATACTAATTTTGCCTTCACGCCATCCTCCCCCTCCCCAACCAGGCAGTTGCATAACCCCAACACCGCTCACCGACTCACCGCCCGAGCGTGGCGGGTTGGGGATGACGCTCCCACCAAACCCGACGGCTTTCAGCCCTGATGCGAGGGGCACAGAAGCGAAACTCTGGAAGATGACACGGGAAAGAAGAAAAGCAGCACACGACTGCAGTTAAGAGCTACAGATCTGACTCTCCGCAGGGTCCTTCAGGCTCTGCAAATGCACGCAGGGCGGGGTGGTACCTCCTCAGGTGGTACCAGTCACCTCGTTTGCTCTGCAACCAGCTGGTGCCACACACACCTGGGCCAGGCCAGGAGTCATCGCTAAAGCCTCCAGCCACAGCTGCACCTCCCCAGGCCAGAGCACACGGACTGGCTCCCCACTCAGCAGAGAACAAAAAGGGCTCCTGGCACTGCTGAAGCCCCAAGACTTATCTTAAATTCAGTAAAACAAGCATCAAGAAAAATATCTACGCTCCATCTCAAAGAGCATTAGCCTGATCAAAGGCAGAACTACACAAGACAAAGACAACAAGAGAAAGACCAATGCCCAAGTTTATTTTAAACACAGAAATTTCCCATTGAAATCAGAGAATAAAGGTTAAGAGTCTCTCTTGCCATCAGCAGAACGACACAAATCCCATTTGTCAGGTCTGTCCCTTGCCGCCAGTCTCAGGGGGGGCTTCCCCACCTTCTCCCTCCATGGTCTGGCCTTGAGACCCGGTATCTGCCGAGCTTTCCAGAAGCAGTTCCAAGGCTTCCTCACCAGCCACACGTCTCACCTTCTCCCCTTTGGCTGCCAGGATTTCCTCGATATTCCTTAACAGCAGCGATTTGAAAACCAACAGTGACACCACAGCAAAGGCCAGACCTAAGAGTCGAGCCCAGGCTCGCTCTCACACTTTGCTCTCAGGATTAACACTACGCAGCGAAGCACACAGGAGCATCACCACGGTATTTCTCCACAAAGAGTCTGGAAAGCAGATAAAACCACCCAAACCTTCCAAGACTATTTTCATCCATGAGGATCAATAATTTAGTAATTACAGCTAAACAGAAATGTTCAAAGGTATCTGTTGGGAGTTAGAAATCACTGAAATTCAGCAGCAGATGAGCTGACACCTTTGAAAGGCTTAGCCAGGGAAACCTAGCGGGGATCTAACAAAGCCCGAGGGAGAAGAGAGGCCCACACGCAGTAATTCACCTCCTGGCACTAACAAGGATGCCTGTGCATCACCCAGCTTCTGTTGCTGCTGCTTTACACCATTTATTTGGATGCTAGGTAGCAACGGTCAAATTGCAAGAGATTATAAAACGCTGGTTGTGTTAAGCAACCAGATGAAACAGAATTAAACCCATCAAAAACTTCGGTTTTCTATGAACCCCATTTTAAAAGCATCAAAGAAATAACGTATCGGCTCGGGAGGATCCAGCTGTAACTCAGCGGTCCCTTCCCATTCCTCAGCAAGAGCCCTGCCGGCACACCCACCTCTTTCCTTCCAGGTCCGAAAACCAGCCCAGGTTATCGGCGATGACATGGTGATTCCCGCAGCCCGGACACTTCACTATCACCACCCCGTTATGGTAGGCTAACTTGGAAATTGTCTTTGCTGATCGGGTCTGGCAGACCTACAAAGCAAACAAAACGGATTTTATGACCACAGCAACTGCAGGTTCTAAACCTTTTAAAAGAAAAGCGTTGTATTTACCTGATTAAAAGGTTTCCTTCCCCCTCCCTCAGCTCTAACAATTGCAAGGCGGCTTTGACCGTGTTACGGTGGTTTCGTACTAACGTGCTCCACGGACCGGACCCCGGCGGAGGCCCCGCGCCCCGGCCGGGGGGTCTCTCCCTGGGAAGAGCGTTGGTATGAAGTTAGATAGTTGCTGTATCTCACTTTGTTTGAACGCTTTGGG